TTACAGCAGGCGTGTCGCTGGCCGTTACCCCCGAGCCTGCCCTCCCCTCTGGGGCCAGCGCTCCGGGGGGCGGGCTGTGCACAGCGACGGCCGCTGCGGGGTCTGGAGCCGCCCGTTTGCGGAGAGGAGCCTTGCAGGCAGGGAGCGACAAGGTGGGAGCGAGGTCCGGGTTGGAAAGGTGTCCCTGGAAGGGACGGTGCCCTGTGGAGACGTCCCGCCCTCTGAGCATCAGGGGGAAGTAAAACTGAGACTCGTAAGGTGCGAGCCTTGTCCCGCGGCCTGGGCTGGGGGCGGGGGTTGCAGACCCCCGAGGAAAGGGTCTTCTGAAGCGTCCCCTTGGAAGTGTTCGGGGTGTTCTGTGGGGGCGTGTTCGCTGCCGGTCCTACGCCACGGAAAAGTTTGGAAGCTGAGGGAAACGCATCTTGGTTTTTAGGCACTCAGCATCATCTCCTTTTCTGGCCATCTGTAGCTTTGCTCTTCTTATAACTGTCTAGTTTTAAATGAGAGTAAATATTTCAAAGAACAGTAAAACCTTTTTTTTTTTAGCATCTGTCTATATCTGTTTTTCTTTCTCAGAGTTATGTACTTTTTGTTTGTGTTCCGTGCTGATTCTTCCAATATAATTATTTATGCACATGCTGATATTAATTAAAGCACTGTAATATAGATAACGTTTGAATGGGCAGAAGATACCATGTGAGAGAGGGGATAACAATTTTTCTAACGTGAAACTTCTGCTTTAAATAAGTAATTAATAAAAATCTTCACATTAACTCACAAGGAGTTAGTTTTATCTGCCTGGAATTTTATTTCCACAGCAAATGGAGCTCGTGTAGCTCACGTAGGCAGCTCTCCCTGTCTCCTCCAAGTCAGGGAATCTGTGCTTTTAAACACGGAGGGTGTTGTGGCTGAGATAAAGTTGTGTTGCTGTGTTTGTCCTCGTTAAGCTCGTCAGCACTACAGATCCCAATTGGGGTAATCCTGTCAGCCAGCCTTCTGTTTTGTTGTGAGGTTACAGCAGTTGTCAGGTGTTGATTTGATCTTGGTGAAGAAATCTGCTGGCTTATCTGTATACATAAAGCAATCTTAATTTATATATTCTCAAAACCAACAAAAATCAACCCCTTTCCTGACTTAAACTGGGGAGAACTTGTCGGAGGGGTGTTGGGGGGCTCCTGGGGCACTGCAGCCTTTTCACCCCAACTGGGTGCAGCAAGCACAGAACGCTTGGCTGCTGCAATAATTAATGCTTAACCCCTTGGTTTTCATTGACACACGTCTTTTCTGTGGCAAAGCATGTTTTTTTCTTTTCCACGAGGTGATTTTACGTGTCCTTTCCTGGTACACTTCCTACTCTGAGGCAGGAGTTCACTCTTTGAACTCAAGGTTTGGGCTTGTCTTGATCAGATGCTTCCTGTTTTGAATGGTTCTGCCCTGTTCCTGAAAGCAGATCTGACCTGTCTTTGAGCTTCTCCCTTGCTGTGTTTTGCCATCACTACTTCGATTGTGTCCATAATGGGGCGTCTTTTAGAAGTCATTCAAACAAATAACAGCACAGACACTTCATTAAATTACGTTTAAACCGGAAATGTTTCCCCACAATCTGACAGTTCTCTCTGTTTCTTCAGACTGTGGCTCTTGCTGTGTTCCTGCTCCCTTCTGCTGTTACTTGAGAACAAGTAAATGGTGCTAAGTCAGGGAGAGGTTGAGGGGTTAGAAATCATTTTAAAAGTGCAGTTTTATTTAAAAAATACTCTCTAAGTTAAACCAGTGTGACTCAGACAGCAGGTTGCAGTGCTCAGCCTGCCCCTGCTTCTTGATGAGTCTGCTCTCCACCACACATGCTGCCAAATCCCATCTCTCCTGGACCATTTAGGCTCCTAACTGGGGGCCTGAGTTGCTGCTGCTCCTCTCTGGTCCCCCCAGTGCTCAGGAGGAGCAGGGAGTCTTCTCTGGGCCTGTCGTGCTGAGCTTGCCAGTTCTTTAGCCAAATCCAGTTGTTGTCTTCATTTGTTTTCCTTTTGTTGTCATCTCTTTGCATTGCACCATCCCCGTTTCCAGTGGTGCCAGGTTTTGTTTGACTGGTTCTGCATAAACGTGGACTCCTTGATCAATCTGATTTCTTTCAAGCAGAATGTACAAGCTGAAAGGAGAAAATCTTCAGCTTTTCAGAAGGATTGTAACGCCCCATTTCTGCTGTGAAATGACCAAATAGATGTGACTTTATCACAGCTAAACACCTCTTGTTTGGAAACAGTTAAGTTGGTATTGAGATGGATGTAAAGAAAAAACCTGATGATGAGTTAATCAAAAGAGTGAGGCTCACAAGCAGCTGAAACCAGTGATGGGAGCAAGAAGTGCAGTGGCCTTGAGAAGAAGGAGAGTTGATGGAAGAATTGGTAGTAAGGTTGCCTGTAAGGAGAAGGGACTGGGCTGCTTAATCTGGCAGGCTGCCTCCAGCCTTGGGTTGTTGGGTTAGCCCCTGTGCATCTCATCTCATCTCATGGCTGGTTTTTTCCTTCTTGGAAGTGAAAGTTGTTAAAATAATGGAATGATTTAATAAGGAGTTTGTGTGCTTGTTATTAATTTGTTTTTTTTTAAATGGGGTTAGTTTTTCTTTCCTGAAACCTACGCTTCAGTTTGGCTCTGGGCTGTGATTGTTATCTGTGAAGAGATGCTGCCATCCCTCATGCCTGTGGGTCCAACAGGTTTGCCTACATTGCCTTCAGCACACACACACCATCAACTCTGCTTCAAAACCACAACTGTGATCAGATCTCGTGTTCTGGAGATGCAGTAAACCCATTACATGGGTCAGAGGAGGCTTCTTTGTGATGCACAATTGCTTAGATGCATTCTGACAGGATGCTGGAGTTCTCTCATCAGATACCAGGCTTGGCTTGTACTTATTTAGCCTCAGACTCATCTCTGGATTTGAAATTAAGGAGAATTTTCCAAAGTAGAAGAGGACTGTCTTGCCTGTCAGCTGCCTGTCCCCACAGGGTTCTTGGCATGGGGGATTTCATCTGTCACTGGCAGAAGAGTGGAGTTTCTGCAGCAGGCTGAGCTGGGAGCAGCAGAGAGGCCTCAGTTTAAGGTCCTCTTGTGCATATGTTCAGTTTCAATCTGATATAATGTTCCTAGTTGGTTTTATACCTTTTGATGGGGGACATTATGTCATAGCCAGTACATATTCATTGCATCAGTGAGGTTGGAAAAGACTTCTAAGATCATCAAGACCAACCCAACACTACTGTCATCACTAAACCATGTCCCCAAGTGCCATGTCCACATTTTTTTGAACCCCTCCAGGGATGGGGACTCCACCACCTGCCTGGGCCAGTGCCTCACCATGCTGTCAGGAAAGAAATCCTTCCCAATATCCCACCAAAAACTCCCCTTGGGCAATGGGCAGCCTGGGCCAGTGCCTCACCATGCTGTTGGGAGAGAAATCCTTCCCAATATCCCAACAAAACCTCCCCTTGGGCAGCTTAAGCACATTGCCTCTCCTCCTGTCTCTGGTTACATAGGAGAAGAGACTCACCCACCTCACTCCAGCCTCCTTTCAGGGAGCTGTGGAGAGCAATAAGGTCTCTTTTCCAGACTAAACAATGCCCATTCCCTCAGCTGCTCCTCACAAGCCGTGTTCCCCAGACCCCTCACCATCTTCACTGCCCTTCTCTGGACCTTCTCCAGTCCCTCAAGGTCCTTCCCATCCTGTGGTGCCCAAACCTGCCCCCAGTGCTCAAGCTGTGGCCTCCCCAGTGCCCAGTCCAGGGGCAGGATCACTGCCCTGCTCCTGTTGGACACACTGTTTTTGATCCAGACCAGGATGCTGGTGGCCTCCTTGGCCACCTGAGCACAGGCTGGCTCCTGTTCAGCCAGGGGGCCACCAGCACCCCAAGAACCTTACCTGCCAGGCAGCTTTCCTGTTATTTACTGCTTCACTTTCCCTCAGTTGCCTTTCTGGCTCACTTATGTAAGGTGGGTCTAGTTTGGATCTGTTCAGAGTTGAAGTTAATTTGCTTGACAGTTTTTGACGTCAGGTTAAAGGCTCAGTGAAATGTTTATCTTGCTCTGCCTTTTTACTGTAATGCTCTTGAGTGTTCTTAGTATTTAATGTGGAAATTAAAAAAAACAACATAATAATACAGACTGAAGAAGCATGAGCACTGTTACTGCTCCTTATTGATAGACTTGTGAGTTGTTCAAAAAAGCAGGCAGGTACTATGGTTAGAAATATTTTTGCAGGACTCCACTAAATGACAAGAACTTCAAGAAGGTAAAAAATTTAGTGTCTGCTTTTTCTTACTCCAAAAAGATCAGGGAGAGTGTTTCCATAGAACTGCAAACAGCTGGGCTCTTCTCAGAAGGACTTCTCCATCCCCAGTGAGGGCAGGGGCTGGTCCTGCCCCAGCAGCCCAGGGAGGTTGGAAGGCAGGACTCCTTGGTTTACCCTCTGCATTTGAAGGAGAAGGTCGTGGTGCCTTCAGTGCTGGAATTGCTGTTTTCTTCCCCAGACCCTTGCTGGGCATCCATCAACAGGGGGATCCTGATCTGTGACGAGTGCTGCAGCGTCCATCGGAGCCTGGGGCGCCACATCTCCCAAGTGAGGCACCTCAAGCACACACCATGGCCTCCAACACTGCTGCAGGTGAAAGGGAAAACTCTTTTCCTTTGTTAAAACTAGCTATAGTACATTTTAATTTTTTTTTTTTTTTAATTGAAAATGGTTAAGGTTTTGTTTGAGAGGAGCTGGTCCTTTTCATAGAATCATAGAATCCTTTAGGTTGGAAGGGACCTCCAAGATCATCAAGTCCTCTGCTAAAACAGATCAGAACCTGTCAAGCCTTCTTTTACTGAATTAGTCTTTTATTTCTCTTGTCTTGCTCTAATGGACCACTAAACCCTGAACTGTCCATAGTTTTTTTAATTTGATATCTATGTTTTGGAACCTCACCTTCAACTTTTCTTTCAGATTTCTGCAATAAATCTGCTTCAACCTAAACTTTCAATATGTAGCAAGCCTCTCTCTTCAGCAGAGCTGCTGTTGGGAAGAGTAGAGGATTTTAAGGGGGTCCTTATGATGTTCCATACTAAACCTCCTGGGCATGTGCCTGGTCCTGAGGTCCCAGCACACAGAGCAGGGCTTGCTGTCTGCTGGGGATTGATCAAGTGTGTGCAGCCAGCAGCAACGTGTCCTCACTGCCTCTTTGTGCTTTTCAGATGGTTGAAACCCTGTACAATAATGGTGCCAACTCCATATGGGAACATTCCTTGCTGGACCCTGCCTCTGTGATGAGTGGAAGGCGCAAGGCCAGCCCCCAGGACAAAGTGCAGTAAGTAGGAAACAACAGAACTGCTGCTTTTGAAGAAATCTGATTATTTTATTGAGCAGCAACAGAGGCAGCAAGGGATCCATGGGAATTTGTGTATATTTGGTTGCTGGAAGACAGCAGGAGTAAGCTAGTTATTTGTTCACTCATTTTTAATTTTTTTTTTTATTAAAAAGAAAAATCCAATGATAATTTTTTGGAAATTTATTGAAAAAAATGGAAATACATTGCTTGAATTTTCTGAACTGTGGATTCCTGCCTTTTAGCTTTGAATAGTGAGAACCTCTACCAGTACTTGAATCAAAAAGCTTCTAATTCTCATGCCACATGCTTTAGTTAACTGAACCCTGCTGATGAGATTGAGCTTGGCTGATGAATTTTAAAAAAAAAGCAATATTTCCATCACTGAATGTAGTGCTTAATTTTAATATGTAAATAACTGCATAGAGTAATTAGAGATGTTAAGTTGGCATATTTTAAAATTCAGTATTTACTTCTAAGGGATATACACTGCATCCTAGAGTCTGCAGATCCTTTGATGTTTGGGACAGAATGATGTATAGTTAGTCTGTGCTGGGTTGTGTTGTGAATGAAAATATTTTTACATGTCTAACTTGGCTGCTAGCAAGCACACAAAGCCCTAATGCAATCTTCACTTGTGAATTTTCCATTTTCTAGAGCCTTTGTGCTATTGTGAAAGCACTAACGTTTCCTTTCCTTTCCTTTCTGTTGCTTGGGTTTCTCTTTCCAGCCCCAACAAAGCAGAATTCATTAGAGCCAAATATCAGATGTTGGCGTTCGTGCACCGCCTGCCGTGCCGTGAGGACGACAGTGTCACTGCCAAAGACCTCAGCAAGGTCAGTCTGGGCCTTCTGCCACTCTGCACAACCTGCTGCTTGTGTGGCACAGCGAAATCAAACTGAATTCCATTCACCTGAGGTGATTATGGCTCTTCTTCAGAGCTGTTGCATAAACAAACACAGCTTGATAGCAACTTGAAGCTGTTTTGGTAATATACACGGGTACTGGAGATGGGGATGGCTGAGAAGCATCGGTTTACTTTAACGTGGAAAAAAACCTTCACACAAGGCAGCTGTAGCAAGAATTCTTGCTTAGCTGTTTCTAAAAACATGCCTGAAACAGTCAAGTGCTGAGGGGTGAGTTAGTGCTGCTGTACTGAGTGCAACCCTGGTTGTTTTTCAGCAACTCCACTCCAGCGTGAGGACGGGGAACCTGGAGACGTGCCTGCGGTTGCTCTCCCTAGGAGCTCAAGCCAACTTCTTTCATCCTGTATGAACACCTCTTCTTCATTATTTTGATACACCAGGGGTTCTTGCAGTTCATAATATTTATACTCATTTCAACTGAAACATACTGTCTGTCTGTCTTCTCAGACCTGTTGGTTAAGTAGGTGCTTTTCTTGATGTCTTGCAGGAGAAAGGGAACACCCCACTCCACGTGGCTGCTAAGGCAGGACAGACTTTACAGGCAGAGTTATTGTCTGTTTATGGGGCAGATCCTGGCACACAAGATTCCAATGGAAAAACTCCAGTTGACTATGCAAGGTAGAAAGCCCAGACATATGGGTTGCTTTTGTATATCAACTGATGTTCATAAATCACATGATGAACCTGCTTAGATGTGTTTCTCTCCTGAGAATAATTTGACTGTTAAATGCCAGTGAGTACTTTTTCCATAAAGAGCAAATGCATAGAGTATAAATCAGCATTTTCATCATTCCATAGCCTGTATTCTCCTGGATGCTTGAGACAACACTTGTGATCCCAAAGAAATGTGCTGTGACAATCTCATGGCTCACAGAAGAGTAACCTGAGGAGAAGGGTTTCTGCAAGTGCAGCAAGCTCTGCACACTGCAGGAGTGTGGATCTAGGAGGGCATTGCTGTAGGAAAGGGCTGGGCCACACAGATGGGTCAGGGAGCAGGGGTGGAACCAGGGGTTTGGTGGCAGTGAAGCATAAGGCACATCTCACTGCAGAGTTGTGCCCTCTGGAAAGCCCACCTTTGGAGAGGCTGCAGGCTTCCTGAGGGCAGACACTGTTCATGTTAAGAAAGATTAAATGTGAGTGTCTCTGCTCATCAGTTGGGCAGTAACAAGGCCCTGCAAGATTTGCAGCATGGCATTGAGGGGTTTGGGGGTTTATATGCAAAACTGGACAGTACTGATCAACTAAAAGCTGCACATTTGTGTTGATAAAAGTATCCCCATTGCTCTGATTGATTTGGAATTGAGGCCATACGTGGAATCTGGTGACTAAGTGCACTTGGTTGTGGAACACAATATGCCAGTGTATTTCTATTTCTCAGTGTTATTAATTAAATGTGAATTCAGGAGTTTGCTGCCTGAGCTCACAATGGTAAAATGGTAAATAATGTATTCAAAATAGTCTGCATCTGTTGTTTGTTTGTTTTTTTCTCCAGCAAAGCAGTAGGCAAAGGTTTTTAGAGTTTTGACTGGCTCATTTTGGGAAGTTATGAAAGTTTATCTGTAGTTTCTTTACCCACTGGAGCATGCTGCTGAAAGCCCTGCTGTGAGTCTGCGTGGTGCTGATACACTCAAACACATAGATGTTGAACAGGGCTTGTACTAGATCTATTTCTGTGACCATTTCAAAATTTGGGATGTCTCAAACCCAATAACTAATGTCACTTCTGTGTGTGCACCAGGCAAGGTGGGCACCACGAGCTGGCCGAGCGCCTGGTGGAAATCCAGTATGAGCTCACAGACAGGCTGGCTTTCTATCTCTGTGGCAGGAAGCCAGGTAAGGAGAAAAATCACACACTTTTAATTAAAAGGCAGTTCAAACTATGGTATATAATTTTTGTGTCAGTGTTACTACACTTTTTAGATGCATTTCAAGTGGTTCTAATGCTATAGAAGTTACCCAGGGAGAGCTGAAAGTGTAAGATGTAAGATTAGTGTTAATGTATGTAAAATGCAGATAATTTTAGGACTAAAAATAGGATTATGTATACTAAAAAACTAAGTTACTTTCCATTTTTCCACAAATATGTGTTCTATAAATAGAATATCACTGAAACTGTGGAGAAACCTAAATTTTAAGATCAGATGGGTACTGTGTAACTTCAGAGAGTGAATGGCAGGGAAAATAGATGTTTTGTGAATGTTGAATAGTCTGCAGGAGGTGTTGTAGAAACTCTTCTAATTGAAATGCAAAAACAGGAGTATTCAATTAGGTGAGTACTTTATGAACACAGGCATGCTTAAGAAATTTTGGCCATAAGGTGCCATAAAGCCCTCTATATTAGAACCTTTGAAATGGAATTTTAATATAGTCGATAAGGCTTAATTGTAATCTTTGATAATACCAGGAACTTGCAGCAGGAGCCTTCCTTTAAGTCTTGATAGCTTCCTATAATTGGAAAATGAGAAATTATATGCAAGATAAATTATTCTGTGTTTGCCTGCTGCATATATTCTTGGGTTTCTCATCACTATGTCTTTCACTTAAACTGCATGCCAGCTGCAGATCTGACATTGAAAACTGTAGTCCACTTACAATCTATTAAAGTGCACTTTGTTTTCCACTCTAGAGCACAAAAATGGGCAGCACTTTGTTATACCTCAGATGGCAGACAGGTAAGCTGCTGATTCCATGGCATGTCTGAAAACAGCAAAATAACAAAATCCTAATCACTAAGTTTTTTTTCCAAAACAACTTCTAAGCTTGTTGTCATTCTAACATTTTAATACGTGCCTTTATCAACCTTGGAAGCTTTTTGTGTTTGGTATTTTTTTTCCTGGAATGAATATTGTCATCTAAACAATCAGAAGATTATAGAAGTTTACTGTGTTTGTTAAAGTGCTGGGAGAAGGGGAGGCCATTATGTTGAGGGAACACACATTGGGGATTCCTGGGAAGAAGATTTTGTAAATAATGTGAGGATCAGCTGAGTTAGTTTCCTGATACAGCACTTTGAAACTAATACTTGTAGAAAAGCTACATTTTTTTCTGAAAATATTTATACTTCTGGTCATCTGAGTTCTTTTAAGTTTTTGTTGTGAAAAATTAAATCAGGTTTGTATCATACATCAAATATTAATCATAAGTCCCTGTTTTTCTCTTGTTGCTATGCAATTGGAAATAAGACGGCTGTAAGTAAACTGCTGTTCAACTTACTGCTTGTAAAAGTTCTGGGAAAAACTGTAATAAATTGTGCAATAGTTGGTAGAATACTTAATATTAACATCTGTGCTTTTTATAGCTGAGCTGTGTTTAAGTAAACTGCTGTTCAACTTACTGCTTGTAAAAGTTCTGGGAAAAACTGTAATAAATTGTGCAATTGTTGGTAGAATACTTAATATCTGTGCTTTTTATAGCTAGGCTGTGTTTAGCTATTGGATAAGCATTCTGCATTTTCAGTGCAAAGTATTTTGCAGAGCAGAGTGAGCATCATTTGCCTCGTTACACAGAGGAGGAGTTCGACAGGCAGAGAAAACAACTTGTTCAGAGGTGCTGCTCAGGCTGTCTCACCTCTCTGTCATGACTTCTGCTTGGCTTTTTCTGCCTTTTTTGGTTTTTTTCCCCTCTTGTCTAGGTGACTATCCAAAGTCTCTGTGATGTCAGTGGTACAGAAGTTTTATTTGAGCATTTCCAGCCTTGTAGGGCAGAGGAGTCTTCCCTTGGGTGATAGAAATAAGGACTCAAAATTTATCAGCTTTCCAATCTGTGGCTCTTATGATAAACCCTGTTGAACTGCACAATTTTCATCCCATGCCTCAATTTCAAGGCTGGAAACCAGTAGAAAAGATGATTTACTAATCATTTTAAGGATAGTTTTAAGCACGGCCCTGTTGCTGTAGCCATTTGCCAGCCTGATGATCCCCTGTCTCCTGCACAGTCCACACTGTTCTGTGTGGACTTGAGTTTGGGTCAGAATGATCATACTGTTCAGATTCCTTACAGAAGACAGTTTGTTGCACTACAGCTTGACTGCTTCTTGACCTCTGCAAATGTGGGTATTCATATTCCAAAGGATTTGGGAGATTCTTTTGTTTTAAATGTTAATAGTTTTTTTTTAGAAAAGCTGAAGAGTGTACAAATGGGTGTGTTAGCAGTGTTAGTAAGATCAATGTGTTAAATTATACTAAAAATACTGAAAGATTAAGCAGTTTCAAATAAAACTGACATTTTAATTGTTGAATTATTGAAACAGTCTGTGTTTGAACACAAGTTATGAAATGCTGTAGATGTAATGATCACTCCTTGGTTTCATAGCAGTCTAGACGTATCAGAACTCGCAAAAGCTGCAAAGAAGAAGCTTCAATCTGTAAGTAAAATTTCTTTGTCTAGCTGTGGCAAACTTGTCACTTCATCATTTCCAAGCTGTAATTGTTCTCTTCTACCCCTAGCTCAGCAACCATTTGTTTGAAGAACTTGCAATGGATGTGTACGATGAAGTTGACAGGAGGGAAACAGATGCAGGTGAATGAGGCTTTCTGGAATGTGTCTAAAATAAAATTGAATTGCATTGCATGCAAAGTGTTAGAGAGGATGTGTTCTGTTTGAAGTAGGGTTTTTTTTGTGCAGTAATTCCTGATAATGGTAGTTTCTTTGCCTAGCATTGTCTGAAAGGGATGATAATTGAAAAGAATACAATGTTTTTTACAAAGTAGAGAACCCTCTGGGGAAAAAAGGCTTCCTTTGAATTGATTGTGTTTGTGTAGCTGGAATTGTGGCCTTTTATTCTTTGACAATAAACATTCAAGTGGTACAGGAAGGTTATGCCCTCTTTTTTTCTCTTCCTGGAGCAGTTTGGCTTGCCACTCAGAATCACAGTACGCTTGTGACAGAGACCACAGTGGTCCCTTTTCTTCCTGTAAATCCTGAGTATTCCTCAACCAGGAATCAGGTATGTGATCTCCTTCACCCTATAAAACTATTTTTATTTAACAGGCTAGGGTTTTCTAAGTCATACTGCTTTACTGTGCTTTGTTACTGTAGAAGAGCTCCATCTACTTGTGAAACCCTTTGAACCTCTTTACATTTCCCCTGCCCTGGAGTGTGCAGCTGGATAATTTAAATCACACTTTTTGTAATAAGAGAAGTCAACTCTCTGTAAGTGCTATAGTCTTAGTTTCACAAAGGAACTCTGCTGTTCATCTAATACACAATGTGTATTTTTTCCTGCAATGTTCTGTAATTCAGGGAAGGCAGAAACTGGCTCGATTCAATGCCCACGAGTTTGCTACCCTGGTTATAGATATTTTAAGTGATGCCAAACGAAGACAACAGGGGAATCCTCTCACTGGCTCAAAAGGTGAGGGTGCTTTTGGTGTCTCCTCTGTGCAATTCTTCAGGAGTTTAATCAATGCTATAGCCTCATCCAGAAATAATATAGGAATGAAGAAAGAGATTTACACTGGTTGTATGGATGATAAGAGCTAAATCGTGTTGGTAGCAGGCTGCTGACAGCATGCATTAGGCCACCAAAATAATGCCCAAATACAGCAGATTTGTCTGTTAAGGTAGGTATTCATAATACAAATAAATAAGTGGAATTTGTGCAATTCAGGAACAAACTTTCCAGGACATTGCTGGACAGTTTTAGGGTGGTAGTTCCTTTGATTGGCAGCCAGGATAATGTCTGTGCTTTGGATGCTGACTCTCCTGGCTGCTCAACACATGCAAGACTCTCCTGTGATTGAGATGCTCTTGAGCTTATTGTTAATTCACCTAAAAATGTTTACTTTCTGTGTTTCTTGAGTAGGACAGATTTCAAAGAATACAGATACCTGTGCCATGAACCAGACACAGACATAATTCTAGACTGTATGAAACTCCCTCTGGAGAGAAAATAGAAGAAATCTTTTCTAACTTCTAAATTTTGCCTATATTTTTTATTTTAATATTGACAGCCATCTGTTCATGTAGTCTGTTTTGTAGGGTTTTTTTAAATGTGAATTTTATTAACCTGCCAAAGCATGATTCCCAACACTTTAACTTGTCTAAACACTGGGAATGAAAAGACAAACCCATAAAACTTTGATGTTTTGAACAGTAATAATCCATACCTATTAGATGGATCTAAATTAATTAACAGGGCTCCTCCAATGATACTTTCTTAGGGCATGTCTTGTGTTGTCTCTGAAGATCTTTTCTATTTTTTTTTTAAATTACTTTATAAAATATGCACTTCCATTTCTTCTCCAAACTGACTAGTACATTTTTAAATGTGTGTTGATCTACAGAAAATGTGGAACTGATACTCAAATCAATCAGCAATCAACACAGTAGTGAAAGTCAGGATAATGACCAGCCTGATTATGACAGCGTTGCTTCAGATGAAGATACAGATCTGGAAACAAATGCAGCTAAATCAAACAGACAGAAGGTAGGGTTGAAATATTTATACACACACCAAATTCTATTCATAAGGGTAAGCTGCTGTCAATCTTTCCCCTCATGACATGGAGTTTATAGATAGAGATCTAATTGCACAGGTGAAATAGGTGGATCTACCAAAACTCTCCATGGTGTGTCACATTTACCTCTTCCAGCTGAAGAAATATTTACTGCAGACCAGTAGTGACTGTTTTAAACCATTCCTGGAAGTAATGTGGCATGGTAAAAAAGAGGCAGTAAAGCCAGTAGTTCTAGTTTAATCTTCCCTTGTCACATGCACACTGGATATTTAATAATCTATCTTCTATAGTTTCCAGTTCTTTACTTCATATTAAAAAAAAAAATCCTTACAAAGAGTATTGTCACTAAAATTCTGACACAAATGTTTTTGTGAGAAGCTAAGACTTGATTGACTTCAAACTTCTATTCTAGAGAAGACTAAACTTATTTTAATGAATGAATCATATTAATCTGAACTTAATTTGAACCATGATTCCTTTAAGTACATGAAAAGCTGTTGAAATCTCATTGTCTTGGGGGTTTTTTTGGTATTTTTTTCAATGGTGTGTTGTTCTCTTCCTGTTCATAGAGCCTGGATTCAGACTTGTCAGATGGACCAGTGACAGCCCAAGAATATATGCAAGTCAAAAATGCACTGGTGGCTTCTGAGGTAAAGATTCAGCAGTTAATGAAAGTGAACATCAACTTGAGTGATGAGCTGAGGATCATGCAGAAAAAGGTACTGGGCACAGCAGTGTGTGACCCCTTCCTCCTCTGATGTGTTTGAACTTGACCAGAGCAAAAGTGCTGAAACTGGAGATGCAATAACCCAATAGTAGGATAATGAGAAAACTTATTTTAAAATGGAGCTGCTTTGGAATCAGATATGACACTATAAACATCCATGTGCAGCATGTGCTTTGAGTGGTGATGGGGTTTTTTTTGTGGAGGTGATGATCTGCTTAGTTCACCTTGACATAAACTGTCCTGTCCAGATGGAAAACTTCAAGTCTTGTATGTTTTTTGCAGTCTTACCTCAGGATAAGCAGTGTTCAGCAGTGTCAGTGAGGGCTAGCACACATCTCACACGTGTGCACATACATACATAGTGTACTTGCAGCTCTTCCAGTACATGTGTTGGGTTTTTCCATTTATAAGCCTAGCTGGAATGAAGGGAAATGAAAATCCCAGTCCAGTTTGGTGGTAGAAAATAATCTGAAATGTGGCAATACAGTATTAAGTCTTTCTATACTGGGAGGGTCATGATTTATTTGTTTCCTTGCATTTCAATCTATGAGAGTTGAACCATGAAGGATATAGTGGTAAACTCAATTACTGGTGTAAACCTGCAGTGTGGATTTTGTCTAGATGAGGTAGAGGTATCTCATTTACAGTATGAGTGACTATGTAGGGATGGTCTGATACAAACAGAAAACTGAATGTTTTTTGCTAAAATCCAGAATTTGAATCTCCAAAACTCCAGTTTGGAAGCCAGACCTTCTAATCCTTATATAAACAAGTCAAGAATTTGTAAACCTGCAGTGTGGATTTTGCCTAGATGAGGTAGAGGTATCTCATTTACAGTATGAGTGACTATGTAGGGATGGTCTGATACAAACAGAAAACTGTTTTCTTGCTAAAATCCAGAATTTGAAGCTCCAAAACCCCAGTTTGGAAGCCAGACCTTCTAATTCTTCTATAAACAAATCAAGAATTTGTTGAATGTTTTGCCAGCTGCTCAGGCTGTGCTGCTGCAGAGGGAACCTGTGCTGAGAACCTGCTTCCCTCTTGTTTTTGGGGGCAAGGAGGCTGATGCTGTGGGGAGTGGTGGGAACTGCTGAGCTCTTGGTGTCTGAGGCTGATGCAGCAGGTTTGAATACCCCAGTCTGTCCAGCACCATCCTTCTCTTACCACTGTGTTCAGTCTTTGGGATCTGTCAGAATGGTGAAGGCTGAGAGGGACCTGAGGGTTCCCAGGGTGTTTCCTTGGGCTTCAAACAGCTTGAGCACTTCTCTGCATCAACTGAATTCACTTTTTACTTATATTGAGTTTCTTTAAACAGATATAGCCTATTGATTGAAAAAAAATCCTTAGAGCCTGTGAATTAATGAGGCTTTAATCTGTTTAAGTGGCATAGCAGCAGGGAGGTCATTGTCCTGCTGCAGTTGAAGTTGGTGTGGCTGGACCTCACTCACTCCAGAGCTGAGTTGCACTGATGTTACATCCTGGTGACATACAGAGCTCTGGGGCTCCTTTCACTTGGTGTTTAGTGTCTGTGGATCAGTGAAGAATTGTTGGAGCTGTGCAGCGTGGCAGAGCACAGGGTGGGACAAGGGATAACAGCTCCTGGGAACTTCAGGACAACAGGGGAATTCTCTGCTGGGTTATTTGTGGCAAGACACTCATATATTTACATTATTTCAGCAATTCTAATGCAATAGATGTCATTCAAGAGTATTTTATTTTCTTTTTTTTTATTTATTCTTGTTTGTTTTCTAAGCAAGATCTTAGAAGGCCATCAACTAAAAAAAAACTGTCTAAATCTTTTCCATGGAAATTAGTAAGTAAAACGTGTTAATTAAAAAAAAGAGGCAAAGCTACACTTGATCAACACCACTTCAGAGCAGATTCTACCTCAATAAAAATAGCTCTGTGACTTTAGTGGGAATTCTAATGGAAAAAGTTATAGGGGTTATGCCTGTGGGGCTTTTTAGGTGCTTACAGGAGGTTAAAAGTTTGAGTTTACAGCAGTTTTTTGGCTGGCTGCACCAAAAGCACATTTATAAAATGTGGAAGAAGTTTGGAAGCAGGAGTCTATGAAGTTGCCCTGTTTGATTGCCTCTAATGTCAAACAATAAAGGGGTGGCTTGGCTCCTGGCTGATCCTTGAATCTTAAGACTTAATGCATCTTGCTACAGAGCACACAGAAAGTGGGGAGAAAGCCCATAAATTATCTCAGTAGAAGCCTGCACATTGGATTTAGGGTTCTGGGAAGTGCCCTAGGCAAAACAGGATTATTTTTTTTCAATATATAATGTTCTTGGAGGTTCATATGGTGCAAAGTAAATGCAAGTAGTCAATATGCAGTTTCCTGTCTAACTGACCATCAGCTGTTTGAAATATTGTACTCAGTTCTTGTTAGAGAATTGCTGGGGCTGACTTATATTTTTATGATGTGTTAATATAGCAAACTTACCCCAAATAACTCCACAAAAAAAAAATTAGAACTGTTGTGGTTTTACTACCCATCAAATACATAACAAAAAGCCTGAAAAATATTTCTTGTTCAATTCTTAGAAAGCAGGAGCTGATGCTTAATTTCCATAAGCTAAACTCTCCTCTTGCTTTGCAGAGCAAGCTCTGGTTTTCTTTGTGCTGCTTCTGGTGTCTGTGCTGTAGTTCTGGCATTTTCAGAGTTCATGGGGCTTACGTTAAAGTCTTGTAAGTTCTTGCACTGCCTGCTGAAGTGGATCACTTTGCTTGGAAACCTGTTTTGTTGGCAGTGCTTCCCCCCACAGCCTCAGTATGTGATATGAGTCGTGTGGCAGTACAGTCAGGCTGGAAGAAATGGATTGTGTGCTCTTGAACAACAGTTTTGAGATCTAATGGAGCTTGGATCCCAGCAAAAAGTGCTGGAAATCAGCACGTAAATATTTCCATAGAAGTTTCTCAGTTATACTGGAACACAGAAGTGTCCATGTTATACTAAGCAAGTCAAATAGATTTTGAAAAAGAAATCAAACCCCAGCTACTAGTGACTGGATTTACTAGTGAAGCTGACAAGCACGACTTGTACAGTCAGTTTGCTTCTGACGCTGGCTCTCAGACAAACAAAGTCCCTGCTCAACGTTTCTTTCAGCTCCAAACGCTGCAGAGTGAAAACACCACCCTCAGAAGACAGGCTACAACCAATATTTATCAGGTCCAAAGCAGTTCTGAATACACAGACCCTACCAACAGTTCTTCTCTAAAGCGGCGACCCTCTGCTCGGGGCAGCAGACCCATGTCCATGTACGAGACAGGCTCGGGTCAGAAGCCCTACCTGCCCATGGGAGAGGTCACCTACCCAGAGGAGAGCATAACCAGGCTGCAGCCTTTCCCTCCACATGTAAGTAAAACTGCTGATGCTTCTGCATTTCTCCTCACGTTCAGCTTCTCTGTCTGTTCCAGCTCTGCTCGTTTGCCAACGCCGCTCAACCGTCTGCTCCAGAGTGAATTTGAAGTGTAAGGGTTGTTCATGTTTGCTGTATTAACATGTCTGCAGGAGCTTGATGGTTTGGAAAGCTGTAACAGTTTTGGAATACATAAGTTGGGGATTTTGGCTTCTGCTCAGCTGTTTAACAACAATATATATGCCAAATATCCACGTGTGGCTGTATGAAAACCAGGATGGAGGGTGGGGGGAGAAACAGTATTCCAAGGAGGTAGGTAAAACTCCTGGATTTCTTTCCTGAGTTATACAGGCATGTGCCAATTTGTGGAACTTCAGAACCACCTTGCAAAAATAAAATGGAATCAAAGCTGATTTTTCCACTAGGCCACCAATTTCTTGTTCTGAGTTTGGAACTGGAGACTGAAGATGGGTTAGAACTGTTAGTTGAACAAATTCTTCTGGTTTAGTGTTTTCCTGTGCTAGTAGTGGAGAGGGAATTCTATATTGGCAGCAAGGATTCTGCACTGACATGGTCACACTGTAGATCAGTGACCCAGCACACACCAGTGCTTATTAAATTTAACTTCTTGTTACATGTTTTTACACTGCCCCGTGGGAAATATGGGAAAGTATTTTTGTTTTTATTTAACATGTCTGGACTTGTTTCAGTACATTTCCCTGTTGGTAGTACTGTCTTTTGTTTCCTTTCAGAGAAACAATTAAGTCCTTTAAAACATATTTGGAAGTTAATGGTTTTTTTTGCCTGGCATGAGGGAGGGCAGATGTCTCATGCACATTCTAAAGACAGTTGGCACAGAAATTTGTATGCTGGGTTTTTCACCCCCTTATAGGAACTTCAAACTAGGGAATCTGGATAATTTTAAATTTTATTGGCATGTTGATATCAAGGTAGTTCTGGCAGCAAGAAATGTCAGAATTCTTTTGTATGTGGCAGCGTTTGCCAAACGTGACAGTGCATAAAAGGCCTTGTGGGCAAATGTGTAGATCTTTTGGTTTGAAATTTGGGGGGAAGTGGCAGTTCTGAAGCACTGATTTGTTACATGGAGTTCATTTGGTATCATGGTGAATTTATTTTATTCTCTGTGGAATTTGGCACCTCTGGAATATCAATGTTAGAATTAACATGAAGCCGGTTGCGTTTTGAAAGAATTAAGTCCACCCAAGCTCAGCCAGATTCTCAAAATCATCCCTGCTGTATGTCATCTCCATGATTTTTAAGTGTGTTCCTTTTGTTTCAGTTAAGCATTAACTTGTGTTTTGGTTTTGGTTTTCCCGAGTGTTTTTCTCTTTCCCATTTTTAGATCGGGAGGAGTGCGTTTGTGACCTCCTCTTCATCTCTACCCTCCTTCCCCTCCGCGCTTTCCTGGGCAAGGGATGAAAGCACACGAAGGGTTAAGTACCTTCCCCACCGCTCTCTTACCTGGAGGAGGTGGCATCTCCCTGGAGGCCATCCCACCTCTGTCTCCTCCCCTCTGGCTGGCTGCCTTACGCTTGCACGAAGCAGCACTTGAGCACTTTCCGTTCCTTCCACCCCCTCTCTAACTTCCAGCGGCTGCAGTCTCAGCGTTTAACACCACGCAGGGGCGCTGCGGGTCCCTCTGCAGCCCGAGCAGCCGCAGGACGAGCTGGTTGCTGGCTGGGAAGTAATTTAGCAGGTGCTTACTGGTACTTCTGCCACGAGCCAGCGTGTGACTCTTCCTCCTGAGATGCACTGCATGAGGCATCTGCAGCTCGCTGGGGCCTGGCTTCAACGCCTGCTTTCTTGGGGGCTGTCAGCTTGCACCAGTCCACGTTGGTACTGACTGACCATTTATCTTACAGATGCTCATTAGTTCTGGTGAAGTGAGTTCTTCAAGCATCCAAACAGCCCTTCATGTTGCCCACCGACACACTCCTCAGCTTTCTGCTGACTCTGGCAGCAGAATGGGAGTTGTTTTAAGCAAGGTTCCTTTCAGGGCAAGATTAAAGGCACTGAGAGTGTATAAAGGAAGCTTACTTTGATGTTCCATCAGGGTCTGTGAAGCGTTGTCCTCAGGGTTTTAGTTACAGTTCTGGCTCCAGGGGAAAATTGCAGTGGTACCAAGAGCTCTGGAAAGCTGCTGTTATTGCACAGGCACTCACTGTCTTTGCTGTGGCCTCATCTGGGCTATTATCTATCTGCAGAAGCCTTGTACAGCTTCTTAAACTTCTGAAAAACTGTTCTCTTTTTGGAGTGGGACACTTCAGTCCAGTCTTACTCAAATTAATTTGCTAGAAGTGAGTGTAAAATGCCACATTGCAAAAGGACACACTTAGCAAGGCAAACTGTTTGGTAGGCTAGTCTGTGACAGCTCCTTTTTAGACTGGTTTATTTGAAATCCTTGAACTAACTGCAAGTTACACACTCAAAAAGAAAGGAAAAGGACATTGCATCTGCAGCTCTAGAATTAAATGTCCATTTCTGGTTGTGGCTGAAGTCACAGACCCTGAGCAGGTCCAGCTTAATGTGTCACAGATGAATGAATGCTGGAGATGAACAGCCCATGGCTTTTAAACTGCTGTTTGACCAGCCTGGGCCACCAGCTTGCACTGCCTGCAGAAGGTACCCTCTGTCATCAGAACAAGCTGATGACATTTCAAGGTCTTGCTCTGACTAAACCTCTTGTAAGTTTGAAGCAAATACCAATACAAGGTCCCCTGGGCTGGTTTT